TTGGGGTTTGGAGTGTAGGGTTTAGGGTTACTTGAAAATGATAGGGTCCTTAAGCGGGTGGGTTCAAGGGGGTACGAAGCTAAGGTTCCCGAGTATTCCCCACTACTCCCTAAGGCTTAAGGCTGCTTAAGAGTTCGAGTCGTGCTTTTGATACAAAACCAGACTAAAAGGGACACTTCAAAGCACTCGTTTGTACTGCTCAATGGTTCAACTGGGCTTTGGAGTACTATACTTTTTTGGTTTTGGGTTCCCATTAAAGTGGTGGCATGTTCATGGCCTGAAGCCGGCAGATAACGAGAGACCTGAGACAAGATACTACCCTAAACCCTAAACCCTACACCCTACACCCTAGATCCTAAACCCTAAACCCTAAACCCTAAACCCTAAACCCTAAACCCTAAACCCTAAACCCTAAACCCTAAACCCTAAACCCTCAGCCCTAGACCCGAGTCCCTAGCCCCTGAAAACCCCGGCCTTGGTTGAAACCCGAGCTCCGGGCTGAGGGCATAGGGCATGAGGTTAAGGCTCTCAGGGTTAAGGATTAAGGTGGTTTAGGGTTTAGGGTTTAGGGTTTAGGGTTTAGGGTTTAGGGTGTAGGGTTTAGGGTTTAGGGTTTAGGGTATCTGAATTGAGGTCACTCTTGGGCTTCCTTTGAATTAATTAACATCTCGAGCCCCTACTTTTGGGGTACGAGAATCGCCCCCCCCATGTGGCCCGTGGGAATGGCAGGATGACGCTACTTTGGGCGAGGACCCGTTTTTTGGGGGTTTCTTTTTTTTTTGGGGGAGGGGGGGGGGGGGGGGGGGGGGGGGGGGGGGTTCAGGGGTTCAAGGTAGTACAGGGTTCAGAGTTCGGGGTTCAGGGTTCAGGGTTCAGGGTGTAAAGTTTAGGGTTTAGGGTTCGGGAGGGGGGGGGTTCGAGGGTTCAGGGTGTGTCACATCTAACTTCATGCACGATCGTGGAGATTGAGAAAACGCGTTCTCCTTTGCTGGGTCTGTCGTTTCAAGTTCCAATTTTAGCTGGTCATGGCTCGAGAGCCCGCAAGACCCCCTCCCCCTCCCCGGGTTGGGGCCTGAAGTACTCGGGTTCAGGGTTTAGGGTTTAGGGTTTACAGTTCGGATTTGGACGTGGCATTTCCGCTGAGGACGCCTCTCCAACTCTCAAAGATCCCACCTCCATCCTCCACCTTCCAGCGCTAAACCCTCCAAACCCCAAACCCCAAACCCAAACCCTAAACCCTAAACCCCAAACCCTAAACCCCAAACCCTAAACCCTCAACCCTAAACCCCAAACCCTAAACCCGTAAAGAAAAAAACATCCCCCCTACAAGGACGCGGCCCATCCCGCGGTGCGGCACTTCCGGGCCAAGCTGGCAGACCTCCGCGCCAAGGTTCAGGCTGAGGGCTTAGGGTTTAGGGTTTAGGGTTGAGGGTTTAGGGTTTAGGGTTTAGGGTTTAGGGTTCAGGGTTCAGGATTCAGGGTTGAGGGTTGAGGGTTGAGGGTTGAGGGTTGAGGGTTTAGGGTTTAGGGTTTAGGGCTCAGGCAGCCACGATCAGGCTTTAGGGACCTTGGGACACTTCAGGGTTGAGGCTTCAGGGTTTAGGGTTTAGGGTTTAGGCTTTAGGGTTCAGGGTTTAGGGTTTAGGGTTAGGCTTTAGGGTTTAGGGTTTAGGGTTTAGGGCTTAGGGTTTAGGGTTTAGGGTTTAGGGTTTAGGGTTTAGGTTTTAGGGTTTAGGGTTAGGGTTAGGGCTAAGGGTTTAGGGTCTCGGGATTTTGCGGTTTTCTACCCGGCATTCTGCATTTTAGTGGGAGGTGTCGCAGGCCCACAAGTCACACCTGCGCCAGGCGATTCTCAAGTTTGCAACCCCAAACCCTGAACCCTGAACCAGCCCAGGTGAGTAGATCACCAACCGGATTCTGGCAAAAAGGGAATGTGTGGAATCACTCTGCGGGAGGAGACCCAGGAGAAACTCAGCGCGATCAAGCTGCAGACCATCTCTTTCGACGCTCTCAAGTGCCAGAAGGCTGGGTTTGAAATGCTGTCCCTTCAGGGGTCGGCTTAGTAATACAGGAATACAGGGCTCGGAATAATCACTAATCGTATTCCCTTATGGGCCCTTTTGGAATTAACTATACTATCACAAATCTCCAAGCCCTATTCTAAGTATTAAGGCCCCTAAATTGGGTGAGCGCCGTCGTTCGCCACACAAGTGATGGCATTGCCAGCTGACTTCTTCGGCTTCATGCGCGGAGCTTTAACGCCCGCTCTTTGGACCAAAGGACGCTTAACCCTCGATGAGGCTCCCGCAAACCCTAAACCCTGAACCCTAAAGCCTAAACCCTAACCCCTAACCCCTAAACCCTAAACCCTAAACCCTAAACCCTAATTAAACCCGAAGAAGGTACTGAGGCTCTTTAGGGTTCAGGGTCTAGGGCCGAACGCTGAGGGGTCTAGCTCCCACTTGGAGGTTCATGGTACTCATTAAGCAGTTATAGCTGTACTTATACTTGGTGAATAAGTACCATGAACCTGCAAGTAGGTGCAGACCCTGCAATCCTCCATTGCAGGATGGCAAGTGGGCCACCATGGCCGGGTGTACGCAGATCTCCAGGGAGGGACGCCAGGCAGGACCCAGAAAGCCATAAGCCCGCAAACCCCATAGGGTTTAGGGCTTAGGGCTTAGGGTAATGTAGGGTTGAGGGTTTCGGGTTAGGGTTTAGTGTTTATGTGTTTATAGGTTATAGGTTTATAGGTTTATAGGTTTATAGGTTTATAGGTTTACAGGTTTACAGGTTTATAGGTTTATAGGTTTATAGGGTTTAGTGTTTAGGGTTTTGGGCTTAGGGTTTAGGGTTTAGGGTTTAGGGTTTAGGGGTTAGGGTTAGGGTTTAGGGTTGTGTGGTCCTGGCAGGTGATTCGGCGTGTTGCCAAGTGCCTGAAGGAGTATCCAGGCCATCTTTTGGGGCCTCTCCAGCAAATGTGGTGGGGAGACGTTGGGAGCGTGGTTGAGTGTAGGGTTTAGGGTTTAGGGTTTAGGGTTTAGGGTTTCGGGTTAAGGGTTAAAGGGAAAGGGTTTAGGGTTTAAAGGTTTACACTTGAGGGTTGAAAGGTTGTAGGATCCGAAGCACCCTTTTGTCAAGTCGGAGAAGGACGGTGGGTCTGTGGCCCTGCACCAATGCCAGTCAGTCTTATAGCGCTTAAAGCTTCAGGAGCTGTAGCGTTTAGGGTTTAGGGTTAGGAACAATCCGCCCCCCCCCCCCCCCCCCGGTGGCTACTTTCCGAGTTGCACCTTGAGTTGCACCTTGTGTGTCGGATTGCTTTGCGCCCTGGATGAAGGGCCCTGGGAGGAGGTGCTAGCTCGGAATCCGTGCCGACGATTCGCTTAAACGGCGTGCGGGGCGCAACTCCCGAATCCCAGACCCGAAGCTCTAAACACGAAGACCCTAAATAAACCCTCCAAACCCCAAACCCCAAACCCCAAACCCTCAACCCCTAAACCCGAAACCCGAAACCCTAAACCCTAAACCCTAAACCCTAAACCCTAAACCCTAAACCCTAAACCCTAAACCCAAGGCCAACTAGGACAGGGAGCCCCAAAAATGCTGCAATCCCGAACCGGACATGTTTCCTGCGAAAGTGCAGACGACGAACCAACAGAAGCACGCAGGAAGTTGTGAAGGTCGGGCATCTGGCTTCTAAAGTACACTTTTGTGGATCCATGTCCAAACCCTACACTTCCTAACTTGTAGAATGATCCAATATTATAGATTAACAAACTAATATGAGAATATTACCATAGTAGAGAAATAGAGTAAGGTACCAAGGTTATAACTCTCCATTATTGAATAACTGAGCAATACAAAAACATAAATCTAGAATAATGGAATCGGAGAATTGAATAATCAACTACTAGAATCATAGAGCAATATTTAACAAACATGAATACCATACTACTAAACCCTAAACCCCAACCCCCAAACCCTGAAACCTAAACCCCAAACCTAACCCCTAAACCCTAAACCCTAAACCCTACAATCATTATCACACTATAATCATGTAATCATATGAGCCCCCTGAGAGAGGCCTTGCCATCCGCGTGGAGGGCCATAGCAACGACAGCAACCCGCAGCGAGCCAAAGTCGTCTCGCAGGCCCTGGGCACCCAGAGGTTCTGGAGTTTCGAGGGCTTGGGGTTTAGGGTTTAGGGTTTAGGGTTTAGGGTTTAGGGTTTAGGGTTTAGGGTTTAGGGTTTAGGGGTGGGTTAGGGGGGTTGAGGGTTTGGTGTTTAGGGTGTAGGGTTTGGTACGGTTTGGGGAGATGTAAGGGGTCATGGATTGCGTCGAACTTCCAGGGCTTCGGGCTTCTGCATTTTGAGGTGGAAGGAAATTTAGCAAGTAGAGCCCTTGCAGCACGGCTCTGGGACCCTATTTACCTACAGTTTAGGAGTAACTGCCCTGATATCAGTAGGTATAACCCGTACAACTGTAGGCAAAGAGGGTCCCAGGTATGTAAACCCTTATAGACCATAAACCCCTAGCCCGAAACCCTAAACCCTATTCCCTAAACCCTAAACCCTATAAACCCTAACCCCTAAACCCCTAAACCCTAAACCCTAAACCCCCTCACAGTTGAACTTGGGAAGCCTTGCGTGAGCCCTCGGCTCATCCAGGCCCTCCAACACCGAACCTGAGGTCTCCTGACTCCACACAGACTGTAGGGTTTAGGGTTTAGGGTTTAGGGTTTAGGGTTTAGGGTTTAGGGTCTAGGGTTTAGGGTTTAGGGTTTAGGGTGTAGGGTTTAGGGTGTAGGGTTCAGGGTTTAGGGTTTAGGGTGTAGGGTGTAGGGTTTAGGGTTGATTTGAAAGGTTCGTGGGTACTTGTAAGGTAGGGCTCTAAGTCCCCTACCTTTAAGGCTAGAACCAGGGTTACCCCTACTCAACACCACCCATGAACCCTCCAAGTAGCCAAAGCCGATCTTCCTTGGGGGGCATCCTCGGCGCCATGGGTTGTGGCGCATCGAATCCGGAGCAGGCGCCGGCCGAATTGCGGCGGTTCTTTTTGATTTTGGGTTTCGGGAGCTTGGGTTTGGGTCTAGCACCGAAAAGAAGCCCCAAGCAACACAGAAACCCTTCTTTCGCACCTTAGCCTGCGAATCGCCGGCGGCGAGTGCAGACACATTCTACACGCATGGGGACCCTGAACACAGAAAGTTCAAGGGCCTAGTCGAACTTCATACACATTCGGATCTCATCGGACCGGACCAATTCAATGAAAGAAGGGTACATGGCTCCCCCACTCAGCCATCTCTGCGGGTCAGAGGGTCCTCGGGTGCTGGGCGGGTGGAGCTGTTGTAGCTCTAGTTCAGGACGCAACCAATCGTGAAGCCCTCTTGTTTTCTTTGTACCGATTGCGGCTGGCGGACCTGCTTGACGCTGCATCCTCCAATCCGTCTTCACATGGTGGGTTCTCAAAATTATGGTCACTTCCTGGGTGCCCTACAAAAAAGGGGCCGCCTTAGAATAAGGACCAAAGAGTGGGACCCTAACTCAGAGAAATCACTGCGTGTCTTCACATGTCTTCGCATGTCTTCGCGATGCAAGGTGGCCAAGGCGACCGGAGGCTGCGATGGGGTCGGGGCTTCGTTGAGGGCGGGGAGAATGAGCAAAGCCACATCCTGTTAGCCTCTTGAGAGACTTGAAGTTATGAATATGGAGTCTCTACATAAACTGATAAACACTGGGCTGAGAGTGGAGCTCTTACCGGGAGTTTGGAGAAGGTTTATGTATTTATCTCATCGAATAGTGACCACAAGTTGGCACTTCTCGGCGCCCCTTAGATCCTCTGATCTTGCGGGGGCTTTGCGAGGCGCCGTGCAGAAAAGTCCCGAAGCTTCTGAAGCTTCTGCGTCGGCTAGCGAGGAGGCTCCGCTTTTTCAAAGCCGATCTGTGGGGTCCCCGAAATGCAAGCCCCCCCAAAAACCCTGCAGAAGCCGCCAAAACCCTTCTTCGCATCAACTTACGCTGTATGTCAAAGCTCTCCGAGGGCTGGCCGCGCCCGAGATCCCGAGACCCCGCCCCCCTCCCCCCGAATCGGGCGAAAAGGCGACCTATGTTTCTTCCCACGAAGGCCATCCCGGCAACGACTTACCTCTGAGTGCTGAAGACAAGAGAGAGAGACAGAGAGAGAGAGAGAGAGAGAGAGAGAGAAAAAAAAAGAGACAGAAGAGAGAGAGAGAGAGAGAGATACTCTTAGCCTGCGGACCTTGGGAGGCCCGCCGAAGGCTCCTGGAGGAGATCCGCAAAGGCCGCGCCTATGCCTATGGCGCCCTGCTGCACGCCCCGCCGGAGCTGCGAGGGGACCAGGAGGTGGTCGCGGCGGCGGTAAAGGAGAGCGGCTTCGCCCTCGAGTTCGCGTCCGAGGCGCTGAGGGGAAACAGGGAGGTGGTCCTGGCGGCGGTGGAGCAGGACGGCAGGGCCCTCCGGTACGCGTCCGTTGCGCTGAGAGGGGACAGGGACTTCTTGCTGGTGGCAGTGGAGCAGAACGCCGACGCCCTCGAGTTCGCGTCCAAGGCGCTGAGAGGGGACAGGGAGGTGGTGCTGGCGGCCGTGAAGGTGGACGGCACGGCCTTCAGATTCGCGTCGGAAGAGCTGCGGACGGACCAAACCTTCCTGCTGGAGGCGGTGGAGGCCACAAGGGCCTGGTGGCTGGTGGAGCTCGCGGCCGAGGCTCTCCGAGCGGACGAGAGCTTCGTGGAGGAATGCAAAGCCGCCGCCGGCACGGGGTTGGTGTTCACCTTCTACGACAGCTACACCTGCTCCGAGTACATGCGAACGCTCTTCCCGACGGCCGGCGCCTCCGTGCCGGGGGGCGCGGCCTACGACCGCGTCATGGAGGAGCTGCAGCGTGGCGCCAGCTACGGCAGCCCTTTCGGCCGCATTTCACAAGGGAAAGTTTCACAACAAGTTCCTGTCTTCAGCCCCTCCCCTATAGAAATGCTCGAGAGACCTGCCATTAACTCGGGCGCAGCTTCGAAGGATCCCTGCGCGTCTTTCGAAAGCTGTGGGCGCATGTGGGGACGCATGTGGGGGCGTCTAAGACCTGGAGGTTCATGGATACTTGTAGCCCCATATATATGTCGACATAATCATAATCTGCTTAGAAAACTTAGGCTTAGGGGGCTCATAAGTGCAGTTGCTATTGGCGTTAGAAGTACCTTGAACCCTCCAAGTAGAGGGTCGGAGACGGAGAGGGGCTTGCAAAAGTGCTGCACCAAGGAGCCCCACCTCGCGTTGCCTTTCGCGTTGCCTTTCGCGTAGAAGATCATGCCATCAGAATTCGTCCCATGCATATATAGCTAAGGGTGTTGCGGCACGGCGACGGTATGGTTCGACGAGGAACCCGTGTTTGGACACGACGCCGACGATGGCAGGTGGAGCCACCCCTGCGCCGACTGCGGCCGGGACATGGTGCCCGTGCCGCCCAGGGAGGGCCGCGACGCCAAGTGGCGGTCGACGGTGGACTCCCGGAGCGCCTCCCTCGTCCGAGGCTCAGACGGGGCAGACCGTGCAATCGTCGTGTTTTTGGGCAGGCAGGGTGCTGAGCAATTGTCATCCACACGCTCGGAAGCAAACCTCTCAGGAGCCAGAAGAGGGCAAACCGTACCCATGCTGCTCGGACAGAACAGTGAGGTCCCCTATGGGAGTTGCACAGGTCAGGGAGATCAGTATAGTTGCGAGGAGAGGCTTGATACGTTTAGCTACAGTTCTTTCAGGGGCGGTTCGCGCCGGGTCTCTTGCAGTCCCCGCGAAGGCTGGTGTTGCCACTGGCTGAGGGAGGTGCTCAAGCAGCACAAGGCAGGTCACGTCATCTGCTGTGCCGTGTCCAACATTTACATGCCAGACGCTTGGGCTGCAACTACTATCCAGTCACAAGATATTTACAAGGTGGGGTCCCAAGCGTGAGTGGCGCTTGCAACCGGCGAGTCGCCCAGTTCCCGCTATAGCCGAGCGCCCGCTCAGGATTGGGTGGAGGATTTTGGTGCGGGCTCCTCTGAGCTGGCGGATGCGGATGCAGAAACATATGGTCTTCCGAAGAGCCTCGGGCGGAAAAGAGTTCTGCCTTGATCCGGGCCATCCTAAATGCCCCCAAGCATCCTAAGGCCTGTGGAACCCCCTTGTGCCCAAATCCCAAGCCCCGCCTGAACACGTGCATGGTCAACAACTCTTGTTGTTGACCCTCCAACTCTTCTTGTGAAGGTACCTGGGCATGGCTCTTGACTGGTTTTGACCTAGCTCGTCTTGCTGTGGTGTTCTCGTAGGAGGGAAGACACCGGGTCTCAATGCCCGGCTCAATTAAGCCCAGCAGCTGTGCCAGAGTGATCCAAGGGAAGTCTTCAAGCACGGGATGCCGGCCAGCTGGGGAGAAGGCACAATCTGCATTGCCGGCGAAACCTACCAGCGCCGTGCGCCCGTGCACCCCCGGACGGGCAAGCCCCTGGGGGTGGGCTGCCGCTGGGAGCGGCAGGCCTTGGATGGCATGGACTTCCCCGTCTACGCCTTCTTCATGCCCTGAACCCTGTCGTCGTTGTGCAAATCTCGGGCGGCGCCGTCTCTCCAGCGCAAGTTGCACAAGCGCGAGCAGATAACGCGAAGCCCTGCCGTTTCACCTGCGAACCTGCAGTAAACCTTGTGACGCCCACTTGCCATAATTGGTGTCCCCTAAACCCTAAACCCTAAACCCTAAACCCTAAACCCTAAACCCTAAACCCTAAACCCTAAACCCTAAACCCTAAACCCTAAACCCTAAACCCATAATCCCAGCAAGCCCCAGGGCCAAGGATGGAACCCTGCAGCTCTTGAGAAGAATCTCGCGCAGAGCTTCCGTGTAGAGGTCCTTCCCTCACCGGCACATGGCCTCCAAGCCGGATCTTTCAGGGTCCTCACAGATACACAAAGTCTATACCACATGTTGCGCAAGATAGCTGTAGATGAACGGATCTTCTGAGGAGCACGAATAGTCGCCAATCCATCCAGTAGTAGTCCTTCAAGCGTATCTTCTCAGGAGCACCAAAATCAAAAAGAGCTACCAGTCTATCCCCCAGTAGTCCTTTAGCCCTATAAACCCTACTTCCAAAACCCTAAACCTTCATAGGCCCCTTATAGGGCAGCCCATCGTTACAGGTCTTGCTGTGATCCCATGCGTGACTCGCTACTGCTCCATGCTGCCGTTGGGTGTAGGGAGTCTAGGCTGTAAGGGATACAACGCTCCCCTGCCCACTGACATTCGCATCCTCCAGCTTTCACAAACCTTGCCATTGAGTCATCCTGGGCTAGCTGAATCCCTTGTGCCGCCAAAGTCGCCCTTTGTCAATGACAGTGGGGCTCTCGAAACCCTAAACCCTAAACCCTAAACCCTAAACCCTAAACCCTAAACCCTAAACCCTAAACCCTAAACCCTAAACCCTAAACCCTAAACCCTGAACCCTAAACCCTGCACCCTAAACCCTAAACCCTAAACCCTAAACCCTAAACCCTAAACCCTAAACCCTAAACCCTAAACCCTAAACCCTGAACCCTAAACCCTAAACCCTAAACCCTAAACCCTATAGGGAGCTGTGCCATGGTGAGGACGTGGCATTGATCGGGGTAAATGGGCTCTGGGGCTGAGGGGATCTGAGAATTCCATACGCATACATACGCATACATACGCATACGTACATAAATAAATCAGTATAAATGTACATATCAATTTAGATATACATGTGAATGGAGATACCGATATAAAGATAAAAGTGAGTATAAATGTAAATAAACATATAAATACTAACCCCTCCCTCCCCTAACCCCTAAACCCTAAACCTTGAACCTTAAACCCTAAGCCCTGGCCCCAACCCCCCAATCCACGCCACGGGGGGGAGGGGGGGGGGGGGGCCCTAAACCTTCAGCCCTACGCACCGGCATCATAACATGCTTATACGTGTTTATATATATATATATATTTATTTATTTACACATATCTATATATGTTTATACATGTAAATGTTTGTACACATGTATGTATATATCAGGATTGAGGCGCTTTTGTGGAGTTCATCCGGCGTTTTTGGGTTTCGCTTCTTTGGGATGAACGCGAGAGGGTCATGGTAGGGCTTGGTGATGAGCTCCATCAGAGCTTCGATGTCTTTGGTAGACACCCCACGCATTCCTTAGCCCTATTAGCCCTAAACCCTAAACCCTAAACCCTAAACCCTAAACCCTAAACCCTAAACCCTAAAATCCTGACCGGGCAGAGAGCTGTGCCGGGTCACAACTTGTCGGGAAGACCTAGGAGCAGTCAATGCGTGCGCGCACATCGTGATGCAAAGGCTCCCCAAGTCTAAACCCTAAACCCTAAACCCTAAACCCTAAACCCTAAACCCTAAACCCTAAACCCTAAACCCTAAACCCTAAACCCTAAACCCTAAACCCAAAGCCCTAAACCCTAAACCCAAGTCTATAGGTTTAGGCGTTGGGAAGTCTAGTTGTTGCAACAGCTGCGGATGCTGTGTTGGGTCGGTTCGGTTTTCGTATGTCACATCTAGTAAAGAGTAATCAACATAGCGAGGCCCGGGCAGATGCTGTGAAGGCGGCGCTTCAGGACCAAGAGTATGCACCTGTGTTCATCTGCTGCGGCATCTTGCTGAGTTGCTGGTTTCTTGGTGAGTGGCCCCAAACCCAAAACCCCGAACCCCCCCCCCCCCGAAAACCCTAAGCCACGGCTGTTTTTTACCTGACCAGCATGGGAGTCCGAAGCTTGACCTGGGGTTGAGAAACTTGGGAGGGGCGTAGGTGAAATCTTGGGCGCAGGCGTAGAAGGAGCGAGGTGAGTGCTGGTTCCCCCCCCCCCATGATCATGATCATGAAGGAAGGTGCGACACATCTGTCCACACAGCAAAATGCAAAATGGTGATATCCTGACAAGGAGCCTTGTATGGGAAGTGGTACTTAGCCACACAGATTCCTCCGTTGCAGCTTCAGCTTTGAGCAAAGACAATGTGAAGCACAAGGTGAAACACACGCTTTTGCCTGCATTTCTAGGAGGCCGGCTGTACCAACTGGATGGTTTCGCACGGCTGGGGGCTCACCCACGCGCTGAAGAAGAAGATGGCGCCTCGATGATGTAATGATGTCTGGGCTAGTTCCGCACCCTCGTACACGAGACTACATCATTGGCCAAAGTAAGTATAGCATAAAGCTGCACAAAAACTTGCATTTGATCAAATCGTCGCTTCTGTGATTTTAATTTGGCAAAAACAACCCCCAAATCCTAAACCACAAATCTCGAACTAGAGGGTTCGGTAAGTGGGGTTTCCCATACCTGAGGATTTGTACTATTTTGGGGCTACACAAAGGGCACCCTGTTTGGGAAATACCCATGTAAATCGGGCCATGAGTGCACCATCTCATGGACCTCGCAAGGGTGTAGGGGCCTGCTCTGAGCAAAAGTACTTGCTACCAGTAGCAATGGATAGCCCTACCTCGTTTGGGTCTCTGGGTGTGGGAAAGGGCTTGGGTTCAAGTGCGACTGAGGCTCACAGTCCCACGCCTGATGTTACCCAGGGCGCGGTTTCGGGTTTAGGGTTTAGGGCTCAGGGGTTCAGAAGTTCAGAGTTCTCCACATGCTACCCAAACCCAATATATCCTAAGGCCTCACTCCTGACAGCACTTCAGTACGCTGGGCAGTCAGACTTCGCGCCCATGCGAACTTCTTGAGGCTCTCGGATAGCGTGGGGTTCATAATCGCCCCAGTTACTCATGCAGCTCGTTTGCAGCTGCACAGAGGGATTTGTGTGGACACTGGATGCTTCGTTCTCCAAGCTTTAACCCTCAACTGCATTGTCGTACAGAGGTTTTCCCGATTTCAAGCTTCGCCGATTGTACAAATACCTTGTTAGACGCTTCAACCCTCAAAGCCCATGCGGTCCAGTGCAAGATCCTCCGGGGATGTCCTCAGAGGTGCGGATCCTGCCGTCCGTTGACATGGAGCAGCTTCCGACTGAGTCAGCGCTCGCAAACGGATAGTCGGACAGGCAGGCTTCATTCATTCTGATTGCTGCAACTGTTTACCACGATGATATATATGTTGTTGGGCAGCCTAAACCCTAAACCCTAAACCCTAATCACTAAACCCTAAACCCTAAACCCTAAGAGAGAGTTTCCCTCTGCAGGCTTGCGAGCCAGATTAGCTTAGACACTCTGTGGCCAACCCAACACGGGGGGGCCCTTTTAGTGCGGGAGCGCAGGGCTTGGGGGCCGATGGGCACGGCTTCGCCCCCAAACCCTAAACCCCCAAAAAGGGGTTTAGGGTTTAGGGTTTAGGGTTTAGGGTTAGGGTTTAGGACCCCTAAACCCCTGAACCCTCGGCCCCTACGCAGAGGGCTTAGACTAGAGGTGTGCCAAAGACTTCGCACGCCGGCTTTCAGGAAGCGCATCACGTCACCAGAGAAAAGCTGATGCGAGACTTGCACAAGGAAGGACATGGCAGTACTGACGCTGGTGCTAGCTTTAAGAATCACAACAGTCACAGTCAAAATCCCTCAATATCAATCATCATACTCATAGTCAAAAGTACAAAGAGTACTCTGTGGCAGTTTTCCGCCTTTCAAACCGCCAGGTGGACCCGGCGGAG